CTAATAAGATGTCACTAAAGATATTATAAGTTGAAGTCTATACTACAAGGGGATTATAATTTTAAATAAATCATTGCAATATGAACTTTGAAGTGACAAAGTCCAAATATGGAAGCTTGTTTGATCTTTGAACAATATGGCGTTAAAATAAATTACATATGATCAGAAGTATGCAACTCTTCAATTTTAATGTTTTGCATTTCATAGGCTTTAATGGGAATCCAAATTCTGTAGACACATTACTGGAATATATCTCTATATATAGATAATAGTTCCTATTTTCAAGTCTAGGATTATCCGTTATCTTCCATTCACATCCCCATAAACAGCATCTCTTACTCTATCCACGGGTGGCTCTTGGGCCTTGTACAAAATGAATATTATAGTAAAAAAATAATTTCTAGCATTGTGTTCTTCTTACTCAACTGTATGATCATATTCTGATGGTCTGTTGTTTGAGGATGCGTCATTTCTAAAAAAAAATAATTTTAAAAAACTGACCGGTTATTGTTTAACACTCATTCAAGAGAAAGGAACGATAACCAGTCAGCTTTTTTCTTTCTTTTTGCATTTCTTTTCGATTTCCATCTTACTATAATAATATATTTTTCTCTTTACTCGCCATTTCTTTTTTTTAATATGTAAAGTTTAACTGCAATAATATATATATATATATATATATATATATATATATATATATATATATATATATATATATATATATATATATATAAGAAGAAAAATATACTGAAAAAAAAACAAAAATCTTAATATGCGTCGGACGTTTCGGTCTAATAGACCATCTTCAGGACATGTTCATAAAACATAATTAACATAGACCATATACAATCCAACATGAAAAAAGTTATGTCTATGTTAATTATGTTTTATGAATATGTCCTGAAGAGGGTCTATTAGACCGAAACGTCCGACGTTGACATTAAACATTAAAACAGCATAATCGCATATTAGGATTTTTGTTTGATTTTTCAGTATATTTTTCTTCATACTGTCGGATCTATATCCATATATTTGCTATATATATATATATATATATATATATATATATATATATATATATATATATAGGGTGTCTCCTAAAAATTGATATCATATAAAATGTGAATATCTGATTAACTACATGTCCCAGGGAAACAAAATTAATTAGGTTACATGATGGACACTAACAGATTTATTTATTAAAATTCGAACAAGATCTTCAAATAGATGTAGATTTTATAGACACTTACATAAAAGCTTCACAAATGTTAAATATACGCACCACCTGAAACACAACACACTTCAAATCGGTAGTTCAGCTCCTGCCAAACACGCTGTAGCATGCCTTGCGTAACATTCTCCAGCAAACCAGAGATTCTCTGCTTAAGTTCCTCAAGGCTTGAAGGAAGTGGTCGATATAGAACTGTCCTTTCACATGGTACCATAGAAAAAATAACAAGGTGTAAAGTCAGGTGAACGCAGTGAACAGTTCAATAGTATTGTCATGATCATTGTCACGGCCGATCCATCTTCCTGGTAAATTCTCATTGAGATAAACTCACACAATCAAACTAATTTTTTTATATATTTTTTTTTAATTTGACATCATTTGAGCGAGAATTGGCAATATTATTAGACTACAAAATGATGTCAATTTTGCGATATATATATATATATATATATATATATATATATATATATATATATATATATATATATATGGTAAGAAGGCAGAACATCCTGACGAATCGTTTGGGCAGTAAAGGCAACACAAGGATTGACAGATAAATGTTTTACACTGATAGAAATTCGTTTACCACATTTCATGCAAACTTCACCAATCAACAGTAACGACAAATATAGGATATTTTTGCGGATCAATTAGTTTAGGTTTATTGAATTACACCAGTTTAGCACAAGCAGTAAATTAATCAATATCAATAGGTCACCCATTATCATGAAAAAACATTGACAATAATTATATCTTTGTTTCTTTCTCCTTTCACTATGTTTCCCTATTATGTTGTCCGTAATATGGCCGTTTTTACTGCAATAATAACATTTTGTACCTCTCACGAAAGTATTTTAACTTTTATCTATAATTAAGACAAGCGATTCTTAAGTTTTTCAACTTTTCATTAGATTTATAAAACGAAAGAAATCTCACGCCTGGCTTTATATTATTCCCAAAATGGTAACAAAATCAGAATGGAAATTTTTAAGCAAAGTTTGAACGAGAAAAGTTAATGAAAACTTGTTCAGCAATTTTCGTTTTATAAATTTTGCGCAGTGCCAGGGAAAAGTAATATTCCACAGAGTAATTTTTCATCAAAATGTGAACTAAATCTTTGCAAACTAATAAGAGAAAGATTTTATTTGTTTTATGAAAATTAGGGGTAGAATATTTCCACATAGTACTTTGCATATGTCGCGAGTTTTACACCTCTAAGTTTGGATAGAAAGGCAAATAAAAGCTCTTAGAATAAACATTACAGAATTTGTAATGTTTGAAAAGATTTTAAACAAGATCTGAGGGTGGAATATTGTTTCGGTTCAACTCGGTTGGTAATTGATGAATACGAATTAAGTATTTAACTTTTTAAGACAACAGGAAAATCTACTTACTGCTTTTTCAGTTGATTTTATTGGACGTTATCCAAATTAATCAATTTTCATTCAAATGTACGGCATCCCTTCGAATTTGGGACAGATTTTGACTAACGTTTTATAATCTCTCACTCTCTCCCTTTCTCTTTCTCTCTCTCTTTCTTTCTACATATCTCTCTTCTCTTTCTATTTTTCCTTCTTTATTTCTCTAGCCATCTAGCTATCTTTTCTTGCTTCCAATCGTCATCTTCTCTCTTCCTGAATACTGTTTTTTTATTGTCCTTTTCCTCACTTCTCCTCACTATGTATTTATCACTTCTTTATTTTTTCTCTTTCTCGCTCTTCGTTTCACTCATTTTCTCTTTCTCTATATATTTCTTTCTTTCCATTTCTATTTTTGCTCGCATCTCTCTCTCTCTCTCTCTCTTTTTCTCTGCTACATTTTTTCTTCTTTTCTATCGTTCTGTCTTTTCTCCCTTCCCCCGCACCCCTTACATCTCTCTCTTTCTCTCGCTTTTTCTTTAATCATAACTCTTCCTCCCTTTCTCTTCTCACTCTTTCTCTTTCTAACACTTTCTCTTCCTTTTTAACACTATCTTTTTTTCCTCTCTGTTTTACTTTATCTTCTCTCTCCCATCCCTTCTTTCATCCTTAATCATTTTCTCTTTATTTCAGCCTCTCAACTTCTATTTTTATCAAACCCTCCCTCTCTCTCGCTCTCTCTCGCTCTCTCTCTCTCTATTCCTCTCTATTATTTGTGCTTACTGACAATTACATACATACGCGCAGATATGCATATATACACTTATTTCCTTTTTTTCTTTTTCCCTCTGATATATTTTCTCTCTCTCTCTCTCTTTCTCTCTCTCTCTCTCCCTCTTTCTTGTTCTTCTCTAATAACAGACTGTACATCTTTTGATAAAAGAAAAATAGATACACATAGATATAAATATTCACCCAGATATATATGTATACCACCCATTTTTATAAATTGATCTTGCATATTTTCTGTAAATAATGTTTTTCCAGCAAAATAATTGTGACAGAAAACATTCGTTTCGTCTTCTAAACATGACAGCCTAAAATTCTGATTAAAACAATTCAACAACTTCTCGCAGAAACCTTATTGCACTGAATGCGCTGAATTTTGGCTGCAAACTTGGATGTATTTATGTCTAATCCACTGAAATCGACACTCCCCCCCCCCATTCGTATTTCTGGAAATGTTATAAAATGGCCATGTCTTAAAGAGCCACACTTGGTACCAATCTTTGGAATTGATAATATTTATCGATCCATCGCAAACCTGTCCCTCGCTGATGTTGCTAGCATGTCTTTGTTCAGTATTATTTCTTGTGCTTATCGAAGTCAAGCAAACATCGGGCATAAAAATAAAAACTAAAAGAAAAATCTGAGAAATAAATTAGATGCTCCTATTATAGGTTAAGATTCATGCAGTAGACTTTCGCAAAGAGGTTCATCCATATTTTGATTTATTTTTGTCTGTTTGGGCGTATCATTGCCATATCTAAGATAAAATTTAACTCAAGACATTGAAAAAAGACATTATAACAATGCTACTATTGCAATAATGCTTGTTACTGGAGCGGTGAGATTGAGATGCGGACCAGTATGAGAAATACAAAACAGAAAAAAAATTGAACTTGCAGTTTCCGAAATGGAAATCTACTGAACTTATTTACATATTTAAGTGATTTAATATAAATTGAATTATCTACTATCAAGGTATGGATGTTTTCAAAAATGATAACATTATGAAATAGAGACTAACTCTATTCTCTTCTCATTCGAATGAATTGAATAAAATATCGTATTGACTAACCCTGTAATATCTATTAGTCAACCAACATAAAGGAGAAATTAAAATCGAAAAGAAAGCACGTGTTAAATAAAGGTTTCACCTTCTTTGAAAAGACCAAAGGGGTAAAGGAGTAAAATAATATTCAAGATATAATTCTTCATTCCTTCTGTTCATCAGTTTTTCTTTTCATTTTTCTCTTGCTTTCTAACTTACTCTCTACTTTTCCTCTTTCAAACCATATTTCTCTTTCCTCCTCTCCTTTGTTGTTTGAAAAGAAAAAGATACGCTTGTGGATCAAATGGAAATCCCGACATGACTAAAATAATTTAGTTTAATATTTCCACAGCACGGTGTTTATTTAGTAAAAGTGATTGATTGTTTTTTTAAAATTTATCAACCTTAAACCCGGAACATATTTTTGGATTGTAATAAATTTTTTTTTAGATACAACTCCTTCTATAGCTGAGGGAGAAAAGCTGGATACATATATTTGCGCGTAAAGAAAACCAGCTGGAATTCGAACTTAGCTCACCGATTTCTAAATCCATTACACCACGCACACTTCCGAGCTTATAACACGTAATATTCTCAAGCAGTCACCCACTAGGTACCGACCAGGCTTTGACGTTCTTAACTTCAGTGATCAGACGAGAACCGGTGTTAAAACGCAATGTGGTCGTAATTCTCATTGCGTATTAATTTTCATATAATTTTCTCTGCTAGACGATTATTTTGCTTTGCGTTTATTAAACTTATAGAAAAATTTCCAGTGGAATTCCTTATTTGATACGCAGAAAAATTCCATCATGGTAGCAGGGTTATTCCAGACTGTACTTGTAATTGATAAAAATGATCAAACATTATATATATATATATATATATATATATATATATATATATAGATAGATAGATAGATAGATAGATAGATAATATTAGTGGTAAATATACACATACATATGCAAAATATATAAATATATATATATACATACATGCATACACATACATATATATTTTGTATAAAAAAAAAATTCCAAGAGGATAGAATCCAGGTAGAACTCAATGTCCAGGACAGAGTAAGGATATAATAAAAAGGCTTAAACACTACTATTCCATGGTCATAATTTATTCCATTGGAATCGTAAATACGATCCAATTCATCAGACCTACAAATTCAAAAAGAAAACAGAAAAAACAACTCCGGAAATAAAAAGTAAAATTTAGAGAGAGCGTCAGTATGAGAGTGCCCACACGAATGTTAGAGCTATAGAGAGGGGTAACAGACGAGAGAAGGTGGGGGAATTAAAATTTAACAGAGAGAAGTTTTAGATAGGGGAGTCAAAGACGGTTTAAGTGAGAGAAATATGAATGTTGTCGGATGTCTAATACATTAAAGATGTAACCGGAAAGGATACATTTTGTGGTGACATACACACACAGTAGACGATCTAATCTTAAAGCGCAGAAGAAGAGGGAGGGAGAGGAAAAGAAAAGAAGGGGTGGGGGAGAGAGATGGGGCGGGGGAAACTCAAACTGAAGGACATTTACTGTGTAATTAAGAAAATTTGACAAAATTAATATCGACTACAGGTTACAAATCAAATATAAACATATAAAAAATAAATATAACGATTATCTAATCTAGCAAGGACCTATATTTCTATGTTCAAAAACACATGCGTATACACACATACACAATAACATATACACGTACATACATGCATATAGGCGTGTACACACATACCAAAACACACACACACACATATAAACACATCTACATGCACATCTACCTACATATACATACATACATATATATGCATACATATACATACATACATACATGCACATACATATACATATATACACTTCTACATCTCTGGATTTATGAGCCCCTTAAGATTAATAATTACATTGAACATACCAGTATCAAGAAGACTTACTTTGCATTTCTTGCATTGTAGGTCCATTAGTACCCATTTAAATAGACATGAAAACCTAGCACCCTCTGTTCACTGCATAATTTTGGAAACTACGACCATGCAGCAAACGGGTTAAAACTAATGAAAGCGTTATCAAGCGTTCGGAAATAAAAAAAAAACATTCCCATTGCTATATAAAAAAAAATTTACATATTCAGTTAAACAAAAAACATCTTTGATAATGGCCAGTAGATTAGCCGAAAACGTTGGAATCCGCGTGTCATTTCGACAGTTTTTATACACTCGATGTCCAGAAATTGCAGTGGCTTTTGAGTCATCTTCAATGAAACGTATTAAAAAAGGATTGCTGCAAAAATACACTATATATATCTTTGTTATGTATGAGTTTGAGTCCTAAATATTTTCCCTTTTTTATCAGCTTTATTCTTCAAAAAATAATATACAGTTACATTTTATTCAATTATGCATTCAGCATTATTTGCAATGAGTTATTGGCACTTATTAGGCAATTCTTCGATATCTTTAGCAAATACTAATGTGAAAAATGTCTCTACAAACTTTGAAACTAGTTTTCATTAGAGAAAGTTTTCCCCATAAAAGTGTTTTGTGACGATCAAAAAAACAAAGATTATGAGGATACATAGGATATATAACAGGTTGACTCTAGATTTGAAGGAGTTAATACCATACTGATCGAGAAAGATTCCTTCTAACAGTCTGTTTCACAAAGCAACGGCTCCTGGGAACAAGCAATCAGAATAAACCTTCCTTCTTTACGAAGGGAATGAGGTCTAGACTAAGGGATACAGCACATCAGAACATTTTCCATGGAAATAGCGATAAGCTTGCTTTTTTGCCTCTGTGGATTGTAGGATGGGAAATAGTTCATTATCCACAAGTCCGCATAAACGGTTTTGGTCTCTATCAAGGATAGAATGTAAGAATTGGGCAACTCCAGCCCAAATATGACAACAATACTCCATTTTCGGTTATCTTAAGAATGAAATGCAATATTGAAATGCGATTGGAATCCGCCATGATTAGTGTCACCTGACAGCAAATATAAAAACTCCCCACCCCGCCAAAAAAACACTGACGTTTTACGTTGATTAAAAACATGCCACTGTCATCTGGTGGTTGCGAGTCCAATCCCTGGATCAGGTAGTGAAAAAATTGGTTCAGAAGGAACGAACAATAACTGGCATCACAAGAGCAGTATAAGAAAATACTCAACAGATATCCCCTATCACGCAAACAATGGACACCTGACGATAATCAGAGTATACTTGGCTGAAGCGTCTTGCCAATAATAAGATGTGAACAATAGTTCGTATTTTTTTCAACCTCTCTCTCTCTCTCTCTCTCTCTCTCTCTCTCTCTCTCTTTCTTACTACCTCTTCTCACTATTCTCAGATTATTAGAAACCTACCTACCTGCCTTCATCTTCGCATCTCTCTTTCTTATTCCTCCCTTCCCTCCCTCTCTCTCTCTCTCTCTCTCTCTATTTCTCATCGTTTTTTTTTCAGTTAGTAATGGCTGGTATAAACAATGTCAATAAGCAGTCCAAATTTTGTTTCCATATAAATTTTCAACTTCATGTGTCTCCTTGTCATATTTGCTAATCACTGTGACTATTTTGCAATGGAAATATTAAGAAAACCGTTAAGATTGTTTTGATTTTATAACTTAATTTTGTTAATAACACAAAAGTTCGACCTCTTCTCGGTGTGGAGGTCGAAAGATGGTAAGAGTATAAATGCATCACGAAAACCTTACATTTTCAAATTTCCAATTGTTTACCATATATTTACATAAATTTAGAAGTTTACGTTGTTTATTTTACTCAGTTTTTTTTCTCTTCTTCCCCCGTGGCTTCAGTTATATCAAAAGGCTCATCCATAAAAACTGATTTGCAAGAAACGTTCATTTTTTAGAATAGAAGATTTTACACTCTTCATTGATTAGTAAGGGAAAATATCAATATTGACACGCATTATTAGTAGACATTACTATCGAGAGCAAAACGTGACGTGTCTTTTCTATAAATATTTTCATGGCAACTGCACTGACGAGCTATTTTCCCTGGTGCCGTGACTACATTAATTTAAGCGTGCTACTCGATTGGCATCTAGGTCCCACTCTTTTACTGTTAAAATAGCTAAATGCAACCACCACTTCTACACCAACAGTTTCTTTTCTCGCACTTCCCGCCTGTGGTTCCCCAACTTTCACTCGCTGTAACCCCCTGCGTACTAATTGCATTCTTGCCTTGCTTTGGGTGAATGATTAAGAAAACATTCTAGACATGTCAATATTGACACGTAATATTTGCTACTGATGGCAATTGTCTACAGACATGTCAACAGTGACATGCAAGATTTATGGTCCTTAAAATATAACTTTGATTCGAATATTTAATATTTCTATCACTTTCAAGGTAAAGATTTTTAAAATCATAAATTTGCTGCTTTTTGCAATATAAAGAAAAAACTCTCCGTCAAACCAAAATTATTAAATTAACAAAACAATTTCTAAAATATAGTCCTAATAGATAGATAGATAGATAGATAGATATTAAAGACGCGTTTCAGTGGTGAAGTGTATACTCTCTTTGCCTTGTTTAATTTAAAATGAAACAAAGACTAAATTGTTTGCGGGGAAAATGCCTTGGAATCATTTAATTTACGATTGTCTCTTTCCCTCAGAGATTCCAAGACATTTTCTTCAGTCTCAGTTTTGTCTTTCTTTCATTTTGAAGAAGTCAAAGAGAGCATATGCTTATTCGGAGAAACACGTCTTTAATAAAAATTTTCCACTTTTGTTTCGGATACAATTATACATCCTAGAAATACACATAGATAGATAGATAGATAGATAGATAGATAGATAGATAGATAGATAGATTAAGCAAAGAACTATAATTAGTGATGCTGTCTTTTTGTGTCACAATCGCAGTGCGTTCCGAAATAAGTGCTATGATGATGTCCAATACTTCTAAATCTCAATTAATCGTCCAAGCTATTTGCGACTAGAAAGACTTTGTTCCGTAAGCCGAATCATTAAGCTTAAAAGCACCCAGTCCCTCCACACCTGAATAAAAAGCAAAAAGACCGATGCAGTCGGCCATTAATAATCTCCACACCTTGCATTCTATTCTATGTATTTTCCTGTTCGATATATTGGAAGAGAAAATGGCGCACGGCGTAAGCGAATATGATTAGACTTGCCATAGCAAGGCAATCTCCTTGACATATCAATGGATATAATAGTTGCCTATTGTGGACAGCACAATTGCACGTCTGCCTTGCACACGCCAGCATCGTCTCTAGGTCTGAAACTGATTGCATTCGATTAGACAAACTCTTCATTTTCGCCATTCACTGTCGTCATTGTCATTACCATTTCTTCTGCTTTCTACTCATCTTCTTCTTCTTCTTTCTTTTTTTCTTCTACTTTCTCATTGTTCTTTTCTCTTTTTTTTCTATCTTCTCGTTCATTTTTCTCTTGCTCACAATTTGTTGTCCTATTAAACTTAATAAACATATTTTGTCATGTTAAACGTATTAAACATTTTCAGTCTTGCTAAACGTATTAAATATTTTCGTCCTATTAAACGTATTAAACAGTTTTTAGTCTTGTTAAACTTATACACATTTTTAGTCTTGTTAAATGTATAAAACATTTTTCAGTCTTAATCATATAAAACATTTTTCAGCTTTAATCGTATTAAACATTTTTCAGT